AGACAGACGTGGAAGGGAGGACAAGACCATGGTGGCCTGCAAGAAGCTTAGCCCCATCCTCATTGCAAAGCAATTCCTTCCCAGCTCATAGGAAGACCAGATCTATCCTTAGTTTAGGACCTGCAGTCCTAGGAGCACTTAAGTCACAGCAGCTTATCATCCTGCTAAACATGGGGGTTTTCAAAAACAGTATCTAAAAACACCTGCTGGCAAGTCCTGGTCCCACTGCCAGTATTACACTGCCAGGCTTCAACAGCTGGAGCTCACACAGGCACAATTCACTGCTCTCAAAGGGAATGATGGATGGACCAACCACCCTTCTCTAAAGCACTGAGGGAAACCTGTCAGCTCAGCTCAGGGACCAACACAAACCTGATTCTGCACCCTCACTAGGCAGAAACTGCACTTGCTGTCCTTTAGCAAAGGTCTGCTATCAGTGCAGTGCTGATTTACACCCTGTCAAACATCTCCTTCAGCTTCTTGATGAAGAGGAGAGGTTTATGCCAAGAGGGTCACAGCCATAGCAACATAAGCATTGCCTAGTTTTCCCATTTTCCTGGGCTTTTATTACTGTGACTGACAGCACAGGGCCCTTGACATTTCTGGCTGTTACTAACCTGTCACTCTGGCTAAAGGAAAGGGAAAGTCCCTTGATTTGCACGTGGAGAACAGAGCCTTGCATTCACAGAAAGATTTTCTTTTCCTTTTTTCCCCTCTGGAAAAGCCTCCCACCCAAGGGCAAGCTCCCAATATCGCTTCCAGCTTGCATAATGTTCACTGCAACAGCATCGCTCTGCGCAACAGCCCTTCCAAGTGACAGGGTGTCAGTCCTAGTGTCCAACCCCACACTCATGGGCAGGGGATTCCACACAAGATACCTCAGGATACACAGCATTTCAGCTGGAATTAACTAGCATCCAACCAGGAGATCATGTGTGCCCACCAGCTGCTAAAAGCAGGACACTGCAGGGACAGGGACTGAGCAGTCAATTCATTTCTACAGTGGAAAAACATATGCTGCAATGCATTCAGATACAGACTTTAACATGGCTTGGCAAGTGCCAGGGACAGTTAAAGCTAGGCTGGCTGCATGGGATTCATTCCAGGCAGCTTCTGGTGTGAGTAGTCACTGGGCAACACACCAAAGAACAACCCTCAGAGTATACACTGTGGTGTTTGCAGCAGGTCCAAAGCCATCAATAAAGATAAAGTATTGCTTAGAGTGGAGCAAGAGGTGACAGAAGGTACTTGAGTGAGGCCCTACATGCAATTTCAAGTTTTGACCCCACATTTGATAAGAATTTGGAATTACCTCCAGATCTCCCTTGGTAATGGATTCTTCCTCCACACGGAACTGCAAGTCCTCCACTTTCCTGGGGAGAGGAAAAGACACAAAGAGGAATCAGTAACACCCAGACCAGCACCTTCTGTCTGAGCAGCCACAGCACATGGGCCTCTTCATTACAACCCTGAATCAAGTTTTATGGAGCACTGGGACACATCAACAACAGAGAGACCATTACAAACAAATGAAAAAGCTGCCCAAAAGCTACCGGTAAGATTCTGTGTTCCTATAAAAAACAGCCAATGTTAAAAAGTCATGTCATGGCCAGCAGAACTGAAGTCTGAGAGGAGAGGGATACAAACCACCTCTGAGGACAAAGAGCTCAGCAGAAACTGAGCAGCAAGACCCATGGAGCAGGACAGGTAGAAGTAAGCTTTCCACATGGCAAACATTTGCCTTCTTGCAAGGCACATCCTCATACACACACCCCTACTGTTCTCTAACACTGAAAACAGGCAAACCACAATCAGGTTTCACTGGTTTATGTAAACCTTGTTACCCTGCAGCTGGGCACTGGGCAATTCCTGTGCCAAATGCACAGGGTCCATATGAAATATCCCAAGGGAATTGGATCCTCCTTGGCAGAGGGTGGACAATGCTTAATGTTTCTACAACATGAAAATTATGAGTTACCTCACAGAAAAGCTTTCCCAGAGAGTGTACAGGCCAGTCATGCATAAATGTACATGAAGCCACATGCACAAACACAGACATGAGGAGGAATCTCTTCTCTTTTGGAAGAGGAAATCCAGTAATGATACCAAATAATTCAATCTTCTGCTAAACTCAGCCCTCTTTGTTCTCTTTACTGGTTTAAAAAAGGCAATAATGAGGATGTTGAGCTGGTAGCCAGATGTAAGGACTCTGATTCACTTACAGACAAAAATAGCTGTGAGTGTACATATCTAACTTCATAAACAAGCTTCCTTGTCTAAACCTCCTCTAATTAGGGGAGGCATCTGTTGATATTTAGGGAAAAACTCAGCTGTCTTGGGTTAAAGGGCCTCCTGGAGCTGGGAAAGTGAGCTGTCTACCAGGAGAACAGGGAGACATGCACAAAAGAACAATTCAGCCCCAGGAGGGGCATCATTCAATTGAAATCAACACTGGTTTCAGTTATTAAGTACGCAGAAATGTCTTTTTATTCCCACTGAAGAGTTTAATTATATATATGGTGCAACTGGACTCCAAGAATGACAAGTGGATCTTCACCCTTATCCGGAGAGGAAATGTATGCATCATCATCCATACATGGATGGGGCCCTTGGGGTGTGGGGAGATGGTGAATCATGTTACAGCAAGGCTCTACTCCAGTTTGGCTTCCCTGCCTCAGAAGGAATGTCCTCAAGATCAGCACATCACAAATAGAGGGAGGAAAAGGGTCTTCAGTTGGACAGAAGGGTTAGAGCCTGGTATGGCCCAACCTGCACAGGTCTGTTTATTATCCAGCAATGTTATTTTATACTGTATCCTTAGCCAAAAACACCTGAAAACTTTGTCACTATTCACATGTGACTTAACCTCCCTCACAGCCATCCACTTTACCTCTTCTCCTCTTCCAGCTGGTTCAACAGCTCAATCTTCTCCTTCTGCATCCCATCCACCAAGGCTCGTGCCCGCTGGAGATTTCCTTCTGCCTCTGTGACATACTGTAGTAGAAAAAGAGCCCAAGCCACAGAAGTTATCAATGTTTGAAGTACAGAGTTGTTTAAGGAAAGGATCAGAACAAGGGAAGAAAAGGTTTGGATGATCTGTATCAGAGGATGCTGCGGCAACAAGGTAGATTTTCCAAAGAACCTCAGATGTAGGTATAGAGAAAGCAAAGATTGCTCTAAGTTTGATCCATTCTTCAGTGCCTCTCTGACTTGAACCTTTTGGAGAATCCAGCTCTGATTAAGAGTTAAGAACTTGAAGGCTGAACTGTTTTGCAAGCCTGGTGAAAGATTACCAGGTACAATTCAGTCCTGGTCACAAAGAGAGACATTTCAGACTTGTGTTCACTTGTTACTGCTAATTACTAGAATACACAATGCACAAGGATGATGTCACCTTTGCAGATAATTTGCCATTTCTCCTGCATTTCTGAACAGGCAGGTGTGGCCCAGCACACAAATATACACTGCCCCTAATAGCTGACTGAAGTTTATAAATATGAGCAAGGAATCTGGGGCAACAGCAGTCATTGATGAGTGACACACTGACAAACAGCACAAACAGCTCCTCTCTTTCAGCATTCAGGTGCTTAAAATATCATTTGTACAAATGCTGGTGCAAAAAACCAACCCTAATATGATCAGCCTGTTTTCCTTTCAGAAGTCCTGACTTTATTAATGTGATAAAAACATCCTTTCTGGCAGGAAAGCAGAGGCACACGAACTGAGCTGATATTCTCAGCATCACAAGATCACTGCAATGCAGTCACAGCCAAGGCCAGACTGGGTGGCTGAGGGCAACATATTTGCCCTCCAATTGCATTTCAGCATTCAAATGTATTGATCCACCAGACACTAACTACCTAATGCCTTTTTTTTCCTGGCACAGTCCTTTTCCTGCTCCTGGCTCTGGGCAGCTAGAGCACATGTGACACTGGGAGGAGTGGAGAAAGAGCCTCAGAGCCACCTTCACATAAAAGGCAGAAATTCAGAGCTTAGGTTTCACATACATGGGTAACATTATGACCTGAAACTTTCAGAGGATATCAGATATTCAGGTATTTGAGTGCTAATGGTAAAGCCATATCACCTCCTACCTGCTCATGTTGGGCCTTCATGATGGCAATCTCTTTCTCCACCTCACAGATGTGGCTGGTGGCTTTGGCAACCTCTGCCCGCTCCAGGTCTCGCTCTGCCAGCAGCTGCTCAATGTGCTGCTGCTTCTCCTTCAGTGCCTCCTGGAGAGCTGTGGTGCCAGAGATTTTTCTGGCATATCGAGAAGAGGTCTCTGTCAGCTGGAAAAAAAAAGTTAAAAGATGGGGGTAAAGCTATGTCACTTCCAGGTTAGAAGAGCTGCAGTCCCCTGTTAAATCTGGAATGCTGCTCACCCAATGGTCATTTATGCAGTTCTACAGAGCAGCAGTTCCAGCTCTGGACCCTACAGGTGAGGTTAAGTCTGGGAAAGAGCTGGGCAATGCCCACAAGGTCAATAGCTCTTCTGCACTGCAAGGAAAGGATCATTTCCCAAAGGACAGGACGTGAGGTGGGAACTGGGTCAGGAAAGATTATCATGCATTGTTTCATCTGCCTTCTTAAACATATTTTATTGATGACCTGCACTGGTACAGACCCAAAAAGTGAGCTCAGCTCAGAGCTCAGGGCAGACTGATCTCAACTGGAGACCTGTATGGGCTACTTAGATCCACTCCCAGGAATGACACTGCACCCTTATCCCTAGCCAAGAGGACTGCGGGTGCTCTGCAGCACACACTACGTCAGAGTCAGAGCTGCCTGCTCTGCTGTCTGCCTGCCTGAGCACCTGCCAAAGCCCCAGGCATGTGATCCAGGACAGTGCCACCCTCCACAGTAACACACAGTCACTGGAGGAGCTTTGCACAGCTGTTCAGTGCAGCAGCACACTGCTACACAGCCATGTGGGACCAGAAGCAGTGAGCTCCTTCTGCAAGGATCCCATGTGAACCTGCTCTTGACAGCAGAGATTTACCCCATTGCAGATCACAGTTCAGGCTCTTTAACATTCATAATTGCTCTGTGTCTGTTACAGCACTCATGTCCGTGAAGGGAAACTATTTGTAAGGTGGGTACAGCATCCCACACCCCACTCCCCTCACCTCACGATGGTAAAGGAGCAGCTGCCTCAGTGCTGCTGCTGAAGGAAAACCCCAACCTTCCCACTTTGTGCAAGTCACAGAGGTGGATCAAGGCTGCAGAGTCCATGGAAGGAGCCACTTACCAGCCCACTGCGGCTGGGCCTGCCCCCAACTGACGAGGCCACTGAGCTGACAGAGCTGATGGAGGAGCTGCTGGGGCTGTGGGTTAGGGCTGACACTCCCATGGCCATCCTCTTGCTCTTCTTGGCCTTGGCAGGGCTGGTTGATGGGAACCCAATCCGGATCACCTTGTGAATGGGAGCGAAGAGGCCAAACTTGGGTGGGCACTGAAAATACCTGGAATACAGGAGACGTACCAAGTCAGAGGTGGCAGAGCATCCATCTCACCCAAGCCTTGCAGAACAGCATTGCCAAGCAATACAAAACCCTGACCCACAGCTCATCTCTAAGTGCTTTGCTGTGACATTGTCTCCTACGTGCAAGTGGTTGGATTATTCTCCTTTCCTGTACTTAGAGTCTCCATGTTTTCACTTGTGGTGCTTTAACAGGAAAACCCAAGGTCATTGCCAGGCACTAGCTGCTGTGCACTTTGATGAGATGCCAGGAAAGACCCATCTGGCAGCCTGGAGAGCACAAAGATCCCAGAACACCAGCACAGCCAGAGCACACAGAATTTTTCCTTACAAACCAACCTTCCCAAGGAAGCAACCTTCCCAAAACCTGCATGTTCTCTCTACTCTGCTCTGAAGTCATGCAGTAAAGCATGTCTGCAGGGAGGTGTCAGAGGATCAATCAGGCTCTGCTCTGTGTGGCCCAGCAGTAGGACAAGAGGCAACAGGCAGAAACTAATGCACAGGAAGTTCCACCTAAACATGAGGAAGAACTTCTTCCCTGTGCAGTGACCAAGCACTGACCAGGCAGCTCAGAGAGACTGGATTCTCCCTCAGTGGAGATATTCCAGAACTGTCTGGAGTATCCACGTGTGGATGTGCCATGTGCTCTGGCATGACCTTGTTTCAACAAGGAGGTTGGATGAGATGACTCACTGTGGTCCCTTCTGACCTGAACCATTGAGAGCTTCTGTGTTGAATAAAAAGCTCTGAACCACACAGTTCTGTATAAATGTTCTACAGGGTAAAAATCTTTCCTCCCAAAACAGAAGGGGAAAACGGCATCTCCTAACTTTGAAGCCAAAAATAAAAAACAGAAGGGAAAAACAGCATCTCCTAACTTTGAAGCCAAAAATAGCATCACAACGAACTCTAGTGTGTGCCACCTTCTCTGGTGGGCAAAGAGAAACTGGTTCCCATGCACAGACACTTAGGCAGAAGGGAGCATAGAAAAGGGAGGATCAGATAACTACAGTGCAAGCTCTCCACAACTGCAGTGAGTCCAACAACTGTGTCTCTCTGGAGCCCTCTCTCAGAATACAAATGAGCCAAAACTTGGTGTCAAACCCTGGAAACCCCTTCAGGGCTTGGGCCAAGCAGCACAAGCCAGGGTGCATCTGCTGCTGGCCAGCTGCACTGCAGCAGAGGAAACTAGATCACCTCCAGTGTCGCTTCCCCTTGTTTCGGAGGAGTAGCCAACAGAGAAAGCTGTCTCCAGTAAGAGCTCTCTCCCACAGCCTTCACAACAAGGCTAGGACTAAATACTGTCATAAAACAGCCTGCCCTATGTTAACATAAAAATCAGGTTCTAATGACTAAATGACACAAATCCAGCTTTACTAGCACAAGTCCTCTCTCCAGATGTGAGCAGCTGTTTCTCCAATTCCCTTTTATTTTTAAGTGCTGGCAGCCATATGGTTGTGTCACAGGCAGACCCCTGTGTGCTTGGGAGGCCAGGGAACAGCCTCATCTCCAGCCAGATGAAAATAAAATTCATTTGCAAACATCTGCTCAAACCCATTTTTTTCCCCCATAACAAACTTTAAACAACCACTCCACAACCCAAAACCTCTCAGCCTCCTCGGCCTGCTGCCAACACAGGCCCTTGGGTTTGGAAAACCAGCCACACCGCAGGCTGACCTCTCACAAACCAGCCAAGGCCTGCTCAGCATCCTATTCCCAAACTGCAGTAGGCACAGACAGGCCAACAGCATGGCACAGCCCCTTCCACAGGTCTGTCTGGTGTAAGCACAGACTGGTACTTGTGGCTGCACAATGCCAAAGGCTAATTTCCTCAAAAGACCCTGACAGCTCTTAGCAAGTCCAAACTCTACTCATTTTTTCTCAGTCCAGATTGGAAGTGATTGCAATTAACTTTTATAGTTCAGGAGCAGGAATTGGGTCCAGAACACTTGGCAGGAAAAAACCCCAACAATCGAGTTGAAAACCAAGGGCTGCTCTCACAGAGTGCTAAGGAGCTTCATACTCACATTGCAGAGAGGAAACAGGGAAGAAAAGTGGTGTTGTGATGGCAATGCAAACTGCAGGTGGGAAGCAGTATAGGAAATTTTGAAATAGGGGAAAAAGTCTTCAGTGTCCAAGGCTGACATCTCACAGACTATGCAAAAGCAAAGGTCTGAGCTGTTTAGTTGGCAAAGACTCCCACAGGAGTAGAGGCAGAGAGGGCAGGACAGTAAAATAAGCAGGTAAAGGTTAATATACTAGAGATCAGTATGCTGGACTTGCTTGGCTCTATGGATAAGAAACCAACCAAACCACACTAGCACCTCTGTAGTCTGCACAGACAGGAAAGCAGGTGCAGCAAGCCTCAGTGGGCCAGCAGCAGCCATCTGCTGTACAGAGGGGCTCCCCACAGTGATCCCTGTCCTCTGGGGCTCTGCTGCTGACCCACAGCCTGCAGGCAGCCTCTGCCAGAGAGCTGCTTGGGACAGCCTGGCCCTTCAATCTTCCCCTGATCCACATCCAGACCAGAACCTGCAGGAAAATCAGTGACCCTCCACAAATTTCAGCCAATTCACCACCAATTGATGGCGACAATGTCCTTTGCTTGCTCCTGTTGCCTCTCCTGCTTCCACCAGCCTCCAGTGTTTCGAGTCAGCTCTTAGGGCTCCACTCTCCTCTCACCAGCATTGGTCTAGGGCAGCCAGGCCAGGGATGCTCACTAGATGGCAACCACCATCACAGCAGAGATTCCAGTCCTGGGCAGCCTCGGTCCAGGCTGATTCTGGCAGGACAAGCTGAGGGCAGCATCAAGAATTCCACGAGGCCACAGGAAACATGGGGAAGACTGACTGAGGAGTGCCTGCATGCACCAAGGGAGTTAATTTTCCTATGTTTGTTTCTCCTCCAAAACACTGCTGTTGAAATCAGCATGTGCTATAAGAAAATCAGAAGGCTGGAGGAAAGCTTAAAGGACAAACAGGGACAATGCTGCAAACCTGCTCTTAGCAGTGTGAAACAAAGGAGAAAAGCCTTGCAGACAGGGCACATACCAAAACGAGCTCAGCCAAGATGCCACAGTTCCAGAGGACAGATGACTTCCAAAAGCTGGATTTTCAAAACACAGCAACATAGGTGTGAGGATGAGAGGCAGAGAGACCATCCTTACACTCACATCTGCCTTCCACATGCACAGACAGTAAATCATTTCTGAGCACCCTAAAGGTAAAGCTTAGAGATAATTTGTAGTGTATGATAAAGAAAGCAGAACCTTGGGTTCTCTCCATGATTTATTCTCCACCATCCTGGTTCTTTTGAGAATAGGCTGGAACTCTGCCATCTGCTGCCAATCATTTACTGCTTTCTTGCCCTGACATTGAACAATCAGCATTTGTTAGTTAAAATGAAAGCACATGGCTGCTGGGCAAGGCAAGACTGATCCAGTACAAGAAACCTTTACTACAGAACCTGAGATGTGACACAGCAGGAACCCTCAGCTCCCTGGTTTCAAAGTTAAATCTCTCCTCTTAAGCCAGATTCCCTTAAGAAGCTCCAAAACATCAACAGTACTTCCCAGTAAAGGACCTTGTGAAGGACAAGGGATAAGGTCCACCTGTATTTGAAGCAGGGTCAAAGTGCTGATGTATAACTCAAATTTGAACATCCCCCAGCACAAGATCTGGGGTCATTCCCTTAACTAAATTCCATGTGAACAGGAACAGCTTCCCAGAAAGCCTGAGAGATGTCCCTGCCTAGTTTTACAGATACTAACACGAACTTTTTGAAAAATGAAAGAGTGGAGGTACCAGTGGAGTCAGAGGTGGTAAGATCAATCAGCAGACAACTGTTGCTTTACAGAATTAGTACAAGGACAGAAAACAACCACTCATTGTTCTTTCAGATCCCTGGCAATTTGTCCTCAGGAAGAACAGAATAAAGCAACATTAAGCTGAGGAGAAAAGAAAGTCAAATCTTTATGTTCTACACTTCTGATAGGGTAAATTTTAGATAGAGTACAAGAAGAAAGTTTATGAAGGGAATGTGTGGTAGAAATCACAGCTAACACAAACACAGAATCCATCTCTAGCAAAAACTAAATCCCACTGTAAGTTATCTTCTCTCCCTACTCTCTCCTGTTTCCTGAAGCCACCCAGGTTTCTCCTTCACAGACACTATCTGATCTGCCTTAAAATGCCCCAGTGATGAGGTTTATATTGATCTCCCTGCAAGGCTATCCTAAAGCCTAGAAAACTCCAGACTGGACTCACCCAACCCACAATGCCCAACCAAACAGCCCTAACTCTCCCACTAGGTCCAGTTGGCACTTGTCCTCAGCCACTCCAGGAGGTGTGTAAGAGCCTACATGTCCCAGGTTGGGGTTCAGAGCACACAGTACCTTGTACCAGCAACTGCCCCATCATTCTTCCCCAGGGGCTCATCCAGCTCCACACCACACCACTCTCCTTTGGCAAAATCCGTTTCTCCCACGTAGCGCACAACTCCTGTCTTTGTCCCACCAACCTGTTGGAGACAAGAGTCCAAGGGTTAGAGATAGCAGCACTGGCACAAGGAGACTGAAGCTGGGACAGGTATGGAGAGAGTGGGACAAGACATGAGTACTTCTGCTTCAGAACTAATGAAAGCAGCACAGACAGTTCTTACATCAAGTTCTCCTTGCTTGTTGTCTCTCCAATAACTACAAGCAAGCTGACAAACTCTCACTTTTGGGCCTGCCTGGAAAATGTCAGAGTAAATAGAATGAAAACATGGTGCAATTAGCTGACACCTCAAAATAAGTTACTTGGGAGGCCATGAAGGAGTTTAAGCCCTGCAGGCACAGCTCATACCTGTCTTCCAGAAAGAACCACGATCTGCACTGACAGGTTTGCAGCCCTGTGCCTTTAGCTGGCAGTTCTGAGCAGAGCTGGGACAGGACATCAAAGGGACAGCTGAGCCAGGAAGGCACTTATCTCTCCTCAGCTTGCTCCCACACAGGGTTTGCTAAGGACAGAGGGAACTGCTCAAAATAGAGGTGTGTTGTACAGAAAAAAAACTCCACTTTTACCTCCACTTCCTACAGCAATTCCTGGTGCTAGAGTGCTGCATGGGAAAGGGGCTCAGCTCACTGCTAGGCTTCTTCCAACACAGGTATTTTTTCCTTCATGGAGAAATAAGAATAAATCACACCTTTTTCTCCTGTGTGTACACTTAAACCTTCCTGTGTGCTGAGTAGACTCCAGGAGTGGATAAATCAGCTTTGTTTAGATCACTGAGAGCACTTGGCATGGAGCAGCAGCTGCCTCTGCACTAAATGCTCCTACTTAGACACTTGGGCTGAGAAAGGGAAGATGGAAAAGTAGGAGGGTGCTTCTAAAGTTCATACTTCAAGTAAATCAGCATATGATCTAAAATTTTTTAGCCTCTCTTTGCTAAAGTTCAAGGAAGAAAGCTTAAAAATAAGTTTAGAATTAAATTTGCAGCTTTCATCCTGAATGACTTGCAGTTCTTCATTTTCCTAATATTAAATTTCGCATAAACAGGTATCAGAGTAATATTCTCCTACAGAAAACCGTTAACTGAATGCAAAAATCTTCACTTTTGTGTATTCCCAGGTAAGAATATTAGATTTACCAATTCCAAATCCCCAACAATTCTGAAAATTGCTTATAAAAGGAAAAAGAGTTTTCCTGGACTAAAAAAACCCAGCACCTGAATGGACTAGAGATCACAGCTCTGAAGTCTGGGTTCTTCCTCAAGTCCTGAGAGGCTGCACTGCAGCACACAGCCTGAGTTAGTCCTCTACAGCTTCTCTCACTAAGGATTCAAAGTGCTGCTGCTTATGGAGAAAAAAACCTTTGGTGATACCGTTCTCTTTGCTGTAGGGTAGAGGAAAATACTTGGCAGCAGGAAAATTTGATGATACTGTTCTCTTTGCTGTAGGATAGAGGAAAATACTTGGCAGCAGGAAAAGGATCACAAGAAAGCTTTCTGGTCCTACACTGTGTCCAGGAGTAAAAAGATGATTCAGAATCAGCACTAGGTACTTGGCAAGTTACAGATTTGAACAGCTGCAGTCTAATCCTTTACCTATCACTCAGACAAATGCCAGTCCCCTTTTTGATTGATTTGAGTTTATACAGATTTAGCCTCTCAATATTAATGCAGTGATTTAATGTCACTTAAATACACTTCTTTAGCTGCAAGTTGAACTCAATAGAGGTGTAATTAATCTTAATGTCATTTATAGAAACTTACCATTGCTGGCATGTCCCCTCAACTTTATTGAGTTTTTAATTACAGGTATTGAGACACATTTCCTTTAGCAAGGCACATGATCCCCACAGAGCCTCATGTAGCACCTTAAAAACCTGAGTGTGTCCATCACCGTGTGATGAGGGAACCTATTTGAGGGCCACACTCCTCCACCCACACAAAGCATTGCACAGTGATGTCCTCATCAATATTTAGTTGAGAGAGCTGTTTCCAAACAGGAGAGAAAAAAAACTAGTCCTATTGACCTGACACACACATTAATTATGACAACACTAAATCTGTGCAGTAAGTCAGCAGATCACACTCCTACCCAAAACCCCCACGACAGTGAAGGCTCTAAGCTCAGATCAGGTCCAACACTCCCCCAAACAGCCATGTGGTTTCCTGCTTCCAGAGCAATGTATTCTATCTTCTCTTCCAAGCATTAATTGTTCTGCCATCCTCTCTATGAAATACACTCCTGCCATACAGCATCACCTTCTCCCCCAAGCCTGGAGGGACACATCTGCTCTCAGCCAGCCTGGGCTCCCCACAGTGCAGTCAGAAGCCAATATCAGGCTGTCACCCTCACAAGCTCAAGCCTCTTGTTGAGCTTCCCATTGTTTAGTAGGCACACAGAAACCATGATGGATGGAGAGCCTAGAAGACATCCACCTCAGACATGCAGATTTATTCAGCCCTGATAATCTGCTAATGCTGCTGAAATAAAGGATGTGTTTTGGAAACAGCCAGCTGGCAGGTTGTACCAGGGTATGAAATGGTCTCACCAGAACAGAACATTTGTTTCCATCAGACCCTTCAATAAATCAGAGGTTTCACCTTGGGAGGAGGAGACAAGGCAGCCAGTGAAGGCCAGGGAGGTTAGCAATGGTATGGCATAACTCATGGGAGCTCACAGCCATGAGCTTCAATAAGCTCAAGGCCTGGCTTGGAGACCACACTCCAGGTGTGAACAGCCAAGCACAGATGGCTCCTACAGCATCCATGTACTCCAGCCTTCATCACACTGGAGATCAGAGGATTTCATCCCATGAACATCCCAGCCTGTTGGCATCAGTGCCACCTCAAGTCATGAGTTTCTCCAGTGAGAACTTGCCTGTACCTCTCAACCTGGTACATCCATCAGAGCCATAGCCACACCTTCAATGTGCTGAGCATCCAGAGTGAAGGTCCAGAGTGTCCAGGACAAACTGGAGAGGGTGACATGTTCCCCTGCTAAAACCTGAGACAGGACAGAATTAACAAAGCTGCCACCAAGCTCAGTTCAGACATGCCACAGCTTTTAGAGTTGGCAAGTTTTGCCCCAAAATGAACAAAATGCCCAAAGCTTTTCTGAGAACCTTTAATAGTTACCTTATTAACTATTGCTGAGATTATTCATGCCCAAGAGAATGGAATTTTACCACATGTAAAGTGTTAATGTTTTCATAGTTGCTTTGGGAAAACAACAACAACTAACCAAAAAGCATCTAAAAATAGCTCTTTCCTGAAGCTCCAAAACATGTAAACAATATTGACATAATGATACAGGATTTCTTGGTTTGGAGGGTATTTTGACCAGCACCAACATTCCAATTTCTCCTCTTCGAGTAAAAACAATTCCGATTAACTTTCAACAAGCAGGAGGTGGCTCCTGCTCTCCAGATGGATTTGAGCAGCCTCAGAGCCATACACCTCTGAGCTCTTGGAATGTTCAGCTCCAGACAGCAGCTCTGCCTCAGCTCCAATGCCTTTTTCACACCACTGATTAAAGACCATCATCCTGACTGGTCCTTTCTCCAATGAAACATCACCAGTAATCTCAAGGGCCAATTTTGGGCTTGACCTTCACAAGATGAAGCCAGGAGCATTCAGCAGGTCTGTACCCTAACTGGTGAGTCAGACCAGCAAGATGCACTCACTCAACGACATCCACACACCTTCCCTGCTAACTTTAGTATCACTGACATCATGTTTTACTATGCTTTTCTCATCAAAATGAGGAAACTGGATCCAGATCAGTATCCCTGGGCTGAAAAGACAATGATGCTAATCCTTCCAGACACTCTCTTCATCAGAGCTGCTAATATATCATTTAAACTATTTACCAAATTACCAGCAGGCCATATCTCAATCAGCCCTCTCTGAGTCAGATCCCCTCCAGCCTGTGTTTGCTCTTTTCTCCTCACAGCCTCCCTGCTCATCCCACAGCAGTTTCTTGCTCTCAGCAAGAACCTCTTGGGAGTTGTCCTAACCCCCAGGGCCTGTGGGCATCGACTGTTTCCAATATGCTCTGATAATGCTCAGTGAGAAAAGAAACAAACTCCTCTGTGTCATTCAGGCCAGCAGGGACTGTCCCCCCACCAGTCACACATGTTCAGGGGTCAGCAATGGCCAAGGCTCCTGCTGGAGTACATCCCCAGGCAGGAACCACAGAGATGCTGCTGTGCTCTCTGCTTAAAATTCTAATGTACCCATTTAATTTACTTTCAAAGCATTTCCACAAGACAGCATTGCTGACCAGCAGGTAGAGGTGGGAACACCAAGCACACACACTCCTCTACAGGGCTCCCATGTCCCACCTGGATCCTGGGGGAGCTGTGAGACTCTCCTACTGCTCACCTGTGGGAAGAGAAAGGAAGGGGATGGAGGTAAAGAGCAGACACAGGACACCTGCTTTATTCTGAGGACCTTCAACTACTTTAAACATGCAACACCTCAGCTTATTCCACGCTGCTATTGCATGACACTAAGAAACTGGAAATCACCTTTACTGGACAAGTGCTGCTTGCTCTGGTTTGAGCTGTAGCTGCTGGCTGTATCCAGCATGCAAACTGGAGCCATCCTTTCGTTTGGGGATAAATGTTTGCTTCTTTTTCCCTAAACTCATCCACCCTGACAAGGAGCCTATTTCCACCCAAGCTGAGAGGGGCAGGAGCTGTGTTTTCCTACCCCACAATTTAGCTCTTCCAAGCACTGATGGTTGAAAATTGCTGTACAATTACACCTGATTTACAGAGGATGCTTTTGGCAGCAGCCTCAGGGTGTGGGTTGAGCCATTACAGATCACTGGAAATAATGACCTGTAAGTACAAGGGGGTAGATGTGTGTACCTATGGGAAATGTGGCCATCACTTACTGGGACTGTGTCCCAGCTGACAGCCAGGGCCTGCATTCAGCAGCTGGTGGGAAGGTGAAGATCTGGCTTGTGGTCAGGTTTGTCTGTAAATACAATTTACTACAGGTGGCATCTGACCATCAGCAGTTTCATCTGATCAGATACACATCAGATCATCTGTGAATGCCAGAACTGGCTTTTAGGGTGAAGGGAGAGAGACAGCCAGGAATTATATACCAGTCCTCCCTGTGTGAAGCTACAAGGAATTTTTATAGTTTCTTTTAATCTAACCACTTATCTTTGTGCCTTCTCATCCTCACAGCACAAGTCAGCATTGCACACAACGAGTCTGACAGCACTGCTGATGCAAGGCATTTCTGTGCACTTATCTGTCAGGCACCAGTGAGAAAATAATGTCCTAGGGAGGTGGTAGACTAGGAAAGCCTGGAATTACAGCATCTCCTCCCGGGGCTGTCTCCGATACTAAGTCCGCCCATGCTAATAACACAGTTTGCTCCACCACAGGCCACTTACAAATCCTATTTGATGACAGATACTGCACACAGCAGACAAGGGCTGGGCAATGCCTCAGCCCAAATGAATGGTTAGGAGGGGGTGTGTGTGCACAAAGAGCCTCAAAGGGTTAATGTGGCCACAGGGCAGGGTGGTTGCTTTGGGCTATATATTTCCCTCTTCATTTCACTGCAGTCCCAGGGAATCATAGAAGCATAGAATGGTTTGGGTTGGAAGGGACCTTGCAGATCATCTCATTCTAGCCCTGCCATGGGCAGGGATATCTCCCACTTAGACCAGGTTGCTCCAACCCCCACCCAGCTTGATCTTGAACACTCCCAGGGATAGACCAGCCAGAGGTTCTCTGGGCAACCTGTGCCAGTGCCTCAGCACTCTCACAGGGAAGATTCTTTTTCTAGCATCTAATGTGCCCCTGCCCAGCCAAGCCTGCCCAGCAGTCCTGCACATCATCTGCTGAGGTGCTGCTCCTTCAAGTCTCCCTGCGAGTGCTGCTGTTGCTCTTCCAGCATCTGCACTGGCTTTGGCCTCCTATGAGTTCTGGCAAAATCACCAACCTGGAATTCATCCAAAAGGTATCTGGGGCAACACCCCTCAGCAACTGAGCCAGCCACTGCCCTTAAACAGCCTTGTTTATCACAACATTTCTCCACTCAAGACTGCAATCCCAGTTAGGAGACAGAAGTATGGCTGGAGGGCAGAAGACCTCCATTAAGAGGCTTGTTTCTTTGTTTTAATTGGGTTTTTTGTATTTTTTTTTTATTTAGACTGACTATAGAGAGAGAGCACCAGCCACCTCCTTCCCACCCTTCTTCAGAAAGCAACCACATCTCAAGCGTGGAATGTGTTCAGCTGCTGAGAAAGTCTCCCCTCAAAGCCTGCAAAATACATTTACTTAGGCAAAAAGCACAGCACAAATTCCTCCCAAGCAGAAAATGCTCAGCTGCTCCACTGCTCTGTTTCCATCCCTTCCTTCCCTGCAGAAAGGCAACAAGCCAACCTCACACTAACAGCAGCACTCCAGTCATTACCACACTTTGGGAAGCTTCATTCTTACTACAGCAGAGGTTAATTGTTCCACATTCACTTGTCAGAGTTCAAGAGATGAGTTCTACAACATTAGAGGGGGTTTTTCATCTCTTTAATGCAGTTTTTACTGCTCTGGGAAAAAGGTCGAGTTAGAGTGCCAAAGGCAAATATTATCTAACTCTTACAATGGAAAGCTTCTAATAGAAAGCTAAAAGTTTTTTTTTTGCAACTGCTAGAGAGTCAGAAAGGGTCCTGGAACTAAGTCATTGAAAAGCAAAAATGTCTTCAAGCTATGAAGGAGTTTAATGAAGTTAAAGAAAGGCACCATCAGGAAATGACCAGGCTGCAGGGAGCCAAGTGTCCAGCTGACAGACCTGGAAGGGTCCCCTGCAACCTTGTGCTCCACTCCCTGAGAAATCACTGAAAACATGTGTCCTCCCTCACCTGAAAAGCCTTTGGTGGATCCCATCTGCCTAAAAGCCACTCTCAAATAAAAAGATACTCACTCAGAAAAGCAAAGACTAAGAGTAATAAAGACAACTAAAACTGTACCAATCCCTAAATGACAAGAGCAAAGATTTGCTTGGGGAATTTGATGCAACTCAGGTTAATACAGAATTATTGTTTATGTATTCAAACATGATTAGCTGACATCTCCACTGCTAAAAAAAAAAGCAGCTGCCAAGCCAAGCACATGTGAATGAGCTGGAACAGCAAATTATTTCTTCTTGTTATTATTTGTTCTCTTCCTGGATCTCTGTGACTGTGTGCAAACAATTCCTGATGTTTCTGTAAGCTGAGCATTCATGCTAGAGTCAATACTGAGCTCATTCCAGGCTCACTCTTTGGGAGATATTTGTTTCACTAATAAATCATACCACAAACTTTACCTAATTACATCTGGGGTGGGTAAATGAGCAGGGAGAGAGAGTTCCTAAGGATGTACCTTCATTAATAACAAAAAACAAAAAAACCCAACTAAACCCATGCCCAAACCCCCCCAAAAACAACTTCAGAGGCCAAGGGGACATTCCAGGCTCACTCTTTGGGAGATATTTGTTTCACTAATAAATCATACCACAAACTTTACCTAATTACATCTGGGGTGGGTAAATGAGCAGGGAGAGAGAGTTCCTAAGGATGTACCTTCATTAATAACAAAAAACAAAAAAACCCAACTAAACCCATGCCCAAACCCCCCCAAAAACAACTTCAGAGGCCAAGGGGAGAGATGCTAACAGTCTGTGCTGCATGGCTATGCCCTGCTGAGGTGAGCAGAGTGTTAAGAGGACAGACTCTGCCTTGGTGGGCTTAGGGTCAGGAGAAGAGAAGGGTGACACAATTAACTCTGGAGAAAGGTATTCCATTCCCTGGCTGGTTCAGAGAGAACAGAGCCAGGTTTATCACAGTGTTTACATTTTGCACTTTACCCTCATGCCTGCTGCTTCTAAAATGGAAAGTTTTCACCTGAGCACGCTCCCCACTCCATGCAATAGGTAAAGGAGAAAATGGGAGCAAAAAAAATAAACTGATCCAAGGAGGACACATCTCCAGGTTCATTTTTCCCAATGTGTGGCTGTTTTAACACCAACATGAAGCATCAGTGCATGTGTAAACAGAGAATGGCACTGCCACCTTTCCCTGCCCAGGGACAGCAGCAGCTTTGCTGCCAGCAGTAGTGGGGAGGGAAGAGAGGCAGGCTCTGGTGAAGCAGCCAGACTCTTGAGCAGGTGTCAGCTCCTGCTGTTACACAGAATGCAATGCACATTTGGGGGTAAATTTGAGAATATAAATCTTTTTCACCACCACATCTAGGCCTACACACCCACATGTTCACACTAGATTTGCCAAGTGTCATATCTAGTGGGCACAAGCAGAACCCATCTACACTTTTCCTCCTCTGAAAATGAACCAACTTTAAATTGTTTATATTTTATCCAAATAAAATGAAAATTATTGGACAACCCACCAGTGTTTGGGTGTGTGCACTGCAAGCTTTGAGTATTTGCAATGCCAGAGCTGCCTGACATTTGAACACAATAGATGCTGAAAGCCTCAGAGCACATTGTGCCACAGGAAGTTTTGACTCAGAAGACACGTGTGGCCTGTCACAGCTGCTCAGTGCTCCCCAGCCACCTTGGGCTGCTTGGAAATGGCCCAGCTGCCCAGGGTCCCTCTGGGAGGGAAGGGAGAGAGCCACAGCCTGCCCAGGGTAGCTGCTGTCACCAGCAGAAAAAAAACCTGTCTGCGTCCACAAAGGACATTTGAGACTGGCTCTGCCAGCCCTTTCACACACTCCTGATTCACACCAGCTGTGGAGCAGTTCTACCAACCCCATCATTAAACAGATGCCCAGTCTGTCTACATTCCCCTAGATCCACTGCTGGAATTGGAACCAGATGCCCCTAAAAGGAAATACTACATAGATAACTTTAAATGGGAGCCAGACTGCCCAGGATGTGCAAAGACTGATCCTCTGCAATCTGCCATTGCTGTTGGTGAGTCACCTTTACCTTTTAAATCCAGGGATATTGCTGGGGATATAGTCACAACAGATCTGACCCCAATGCTCTTCCAATGTTTGATATCATAATATGTACCATACACACTGACAAACCTAAACTTTCTTAGAGAGCTGCAGGACAAAACTCAATCTGTCCTGGCTTTAGTATCTTTCTTTCCTTCTCCATCAACACAAAAAGCACTACTCCTTTGCCAGGGCACAACTGGTGACAAGCTTGATGGCAAACTTCCAGTTTGCTAGTGTGGCATTTTGGCTGAAAGCTCTCAGGTATTCTATTCCAGGTAATAACAACAGAAATGGGACATGGAGAACCCACACATTGGTACAATGATCTCTCCCAGTATCCTGCCCTTTTAGAAAAATTATGCAAGTTCCTTTCCATACAGGAAAGGAGTTAGTGTCATATCTGACAGAGAGAAACTGGAGCACCAAAGGAGGGACCAGCAGGAGAGATTGTTGCAAGTCCTTGCCAAGTATGTACAGCCACGTGCAACAAGACACTGCTGCAAACTCCTCGAAAACCCAAATACACACTCCAATGGAGTATCACTGGATTAGAATGTAACAACCAAATGATTTTTCTTCTACTTCCCTCATGTTTACTTTGCTTTCTCTGACCTCATTCTACTGCTCAGGACTTGTTCAATACAAGAAGTTTTCTGGAATGTGTCCTCTTGCACCAATGTGATAGAGAGACACATCCAGAAGACACTGCGTCCCAGGTAACAGTCAATGTAGGCATTTGATGCCTACTTGGGCCTAGGCATCTCCCAAGATCACACTCCATCCCACACCTCACCACCAACTCTGTCCTCCTTTTGTCTTGTCCTGAACCTGACCAGGAACACTCAGGGAGGCGACACATCCTTATCCTTTGCCTTTTTAGGGGAACCCCATGATCAACTCACCAGCACACGATCTCCAAGCCGTAAGTCCTTCTCCCCCTTTTTCACAGACCCACTGTCCGAGAGGTTAGATCCAGACTCGTTGCCCGTCTTCATGGCGCTGTTGAGGACGCTCTCCCGCAATGGGATGACACGACTGGACAGAGGTGGTGTGGCTGTCCCCGAGTGCAGTGACAAGTTCTGAGCTGTCAGAGAGTCCACAGAGGGGGCGTCGCTCCCTGAGCCCTCGGCCACCGGCTGCCGCGTCAGCTTGGACGGTCGCGTAAAAATCCCCTGCAGCGGTTGGCACTCGAAGTACCGCACTCCGCCGACAGAGCCGTCATTCTTACCCACTGGGTCATCCAGAACCACCCCTGCCCACTGGCCTGGAGCAAATTGTGTCTCTCCAAGATACTGGATCACACCTGGCTTCACTCCGTTGACCCAGACGCGTTCGCCCACCACGAAGTCTCCCAGAAAATCATCGCCCACCTCGGCGACCTTTGAACCCGACTTCTCGGTGCTGGTGGTGGAGGTGGTGCCCTGCTTGTGTAAAGGTGAGCCTGTGAGTCAAGGGAAAAGAGAGGCTGCTATGAGGAGAAATCCTAGAAGGCAACCAAAACACCAGGAAAGAGCATTTACAAAAAGGAAACATCTGGAATAATGACTTAGGTTGCAGGTTTACACCAGCTGAAGGTTAAACCTGAGTAACCCTGTTACTTACACATCTTCCTCGGCACAGAAACCTCCATCTGCTGCCCAGTTTCTGCAGGTCTCTCACACAGCAAAGAAATGACCCCATGGTTTCATACCCCACCTAGCCCCAGCCCTGTCACAGCCCCAGAGGGAATTCTGCAAGGCTGCACTAGCATGGGTAAGCCCAAAAGCACAGGAGTGGTGGTAAGGAACACAAGGAGCCCAACGAACTGCTGCTTTGAGGAAAGATGCCAAAGTCATCCTTTCATCCAAAAATAAATAAAAAGAAAAAAAAAATAAATGTTTGAGGCACTGATGCTTTAGTACCTGGTGCTCCGAGAGCTCCTTGTGTTTGGATCCAGGGAAGCAGCCAGTCCAGGCACTGAGAGTCCCACCAAGGGCACTAACAGCTCCTGTGGGACCACACAGCTGCCTTCACAAATTACTTGGCTCCCCCAGCTGCTGCTCTGCCCTTTGCTGGAGCAAACCCTGTGAGCAATGAGCAGACACCTGGGGTATGCTCAATATAAACAGCATCTCTCTAAACAGGAAGCATCTACAGACCTTCCTGCACAGCCTTCCAGGGCCATGCACGGAACCCAACAAAACTGGCAATGAAGAGTGCTCTTATTCCAGCATCAGCCCTCCAGCAGTGGTTTGCTGCCTGGGAGAAGAAAAACTGCAAGGGATGCTGGAATTCACTGTCCTGCTCACTCTCCAGCATAGTCTTGATTGGCCAAACTCTCCACAACACACAAGGAGACCCTTAAATACGTCGCTGACGTCTGAAGGTGAACAGAGTCAATCCAAGCAGCGACAGCAGTGACCCAACTCTTGTTGACCTCAGTGTCAAACACCACAAACTTTGGGCTTTCAGCCTAGGCCCTAGGGGAACAAATGACAAGGACATATGGACTTCATTACAACTCTCTGAAGGTTAAAGGTGGAGGCTTTAATTAAAGCCCCAAAAGAAACCACACCAGAGACTGAGGATTTAAGCTTGCAAAATAAGATCCAGCAAGTCATATACCTTAGGCTTTCAGCCATCCTCAGATCATGGTAGCCTTGAGGTCCCAAGTGTGGTTCTCCCAAACAGCTGGCACAGGGAGGTGAGCAGGAGGCTTTGTCCAACACATCCTGTGCTCAATGAAAGCTGCCTGGACTCTTCAGTCAAACTTCTAGCTGAAATTTCTGGGTGCCACCAATCAGAAAAGCCTAAAGCACACTCAGGAAGCAATTCTTATTTGCTACCAGAGAAGGCTGACAGAGGACACCTAACACAGCCACAGAGACAAGCCAAACTCAAGTGTTTATGTGAAACGAACTGTGAAACTTGTTCAGCCTCAGCCATCACTATGGCTCAGTCCACAACACTTCTACAGCTCTCTCACAAGTAATGGGCCTGACAGATCAGGCTCAGCTCCTAGAAAGCATCAAAAATATAAAAGCTCTCAAAGAAAGACACTTCAAAGCTTTGCTAGAGGTCTAATGTCAGAGGAAAAAAAGAGTACCAGTGCTTCAGCAATAGCATGAAAAACTTCAGTTTCTGCTAAACTAGCTGTGTTAAAAGGGATCAATATTGACACTTTGGTTCTCATTAGATTACAGAGTCAACACCTGAAAAATTTCTATTGCATAATTGCACCAGTTTGTGGTTCCTGGAATTCAACAGTTTCTCTGCCTGGTCTGAACAAGGAGAGAACAGCAGTTAAGGCATGACTGTAAAAACTGCTGTCATGAACAGAATCACCTCCAACCTGCTCACTGGGCCTGGTGGGCTGGAGCTGGAAAGAGAGAAGATCAGCCAAAGGGAACATGTACAGCACCACAGATGGGCCACATTCCAGAGGCTGATTCCATGATGGGCACAGGAAGATCAGTACCATAAATACTGTCCCCAGTGAAAATACTGGTGGCAACTGAGACAGAATTCAGCTCTACTATACAGGGAACTATCAGCACATAAAGTTTTGGGGGCTCTGCATCTATAGTCACAAAAGATCAAAACTGGTTTTCCTAGTCTTACTGGAGCCTGAATCTCAGCACACTGGCAGTTCTTTATTAGGGGTGTTAATTAGTGATCAATATACAGGTCACATTAGCTCTCACAAACACCTCTGCAGCATAGCTGGGATAAACAAACCCTTCAGCAGTGAAACTCAAGCAAAGAAAGGCAGGAAGGCTGCCCAAGGCTGAACAAACAATACAGCAGGATTCAAAACCACATCCAGACTCACTGCAAGAGCAAACACCTTCAAAATGGACTTGGACCAGAAAAAACCACCACAAAACATTTCATTAGGCTCTTGGTGCAATGTTGTGTTCCCCCCAAAGCCAAGATTTTAGTGGAACTTTACACACTGTTCGTTTCTGGTGCCTGTTTGGCAGGCAGGGCTGCTGAACTGCAGTCATTACATCTCAGGGAAACAATCCCATTCCAGGCTCTCAGGCAGAGCAGTGCAGGCAGAAGCATTATTATTATTCTCAAGCACGAGGTGAATGATTCAGAAACATAGGATCTAAGTGACGAACTGCCTGAAGGTTCACCTTCTTCATTATGGCAGTTGTGTAGGAATTTGATGTTTTACATGACCTTCATTACCCACAGATAAAATAAGTACAGAGCAGCTAACAGGCCTTTGTGCACCAGGTTTTCAGAGAAGCCAAGGGTCACCATGATCAAGCTAAACTCATTCTTCTTGGCTTCAGGTCTGATGGACCCATTAACTACATGGCCAGAGCATCCAGAGTAGTCCAAGTAGACAACCCTCTGATTCTCCCAGGTAGGTACCTGGTCACCAGCCCTTCAGAAGGCAAATAGTAGCCATGAGTAACTTGTCTTCAATCCCATGAGCATCTTAGAAGAGCCCAAAACAGAAATTAGCTGATGGCACTGCCCTGAGAACTGACATCTGGAATCACCACTCCCCAAGCAACTCTTTCAGCTCAGGGGAAAGACACCCAAGAGGATTGCCACCCAGGATTCCTGAGCTTTCTGTGTCACTTGGATTTGCTGTTTTGAAGTTCTAGTCAGACTCCCCAGTTAAACAGCAGTAAGGCAGAGAAACTTGCTAACAGCAAAGTGAGGATACAGATCTCAGGTACAAGGCTGAGAAGAGTTACACAAGAGAAACACCCAACAAACCAGACTATTTTCTACTCCAGCCCTGCCACTGCCTGGTGATGCTGACCAAAAAGCCACAGGAACTCTTGGAATGTCACCATTAGGCATCTAACTCAGCAGCTCACCTGGAAGCCAATGATGGGGAAAGCTCTTCCTGATGGTCCAGGACTGTGACAGCAGCTCCTGCCTCCCTCCTCTTGCAGGGACCAGGCTCCAACACACAACAAGCAGTGAGCAGGATCCCTTCCACTCAGGCTTTCCAACTTTACAGCCCTATTGTGTTCATTAGCTAGCTCATTCTTTTCAGTTTAAATGGCCTTCCTGTAGGTCACAGCTTTCAGGGCTGAACAACAACTTGTAAATCAAAGTCATACACAGCATACACTAAATGCACATCTTATCCAACTCCAAATCTCCATTTTCCCTTTGGCTTTTGCAAAGCCCATGAACTATGCATTAACTACCATGGCAGACTTAGTGCTCAGGGCTCTTTTCTGCAAACTCATTCCATCAGTTTTAGGGGCCCAAAGTGAGAGGGTACTCCACACTGACAGGGCACTTCAGGAGTCAAATTCCTACCAGGCAAGAGCTGGAGAGGTTAAAGGTTTCAGCCTGTTCACATGGTTCTGGTTATTGTGTCAATGAAAGCCATGTGTCCAAAATCCCTGGAAGCACAAGGAATTCTGCAAACAGGGCACAGACTTTTCCAGCTCTTGGAAATATCTGCTGTAGAAAGGGATGAAGAAAAACTTTATACAATACAGAAGCAAGAAATCCTCCTTCAAGTAAACTCTCAAAGTTGAAGCAAGAGGAAGAGAGCACTTGCTCTCCCACAACAGCAGTCATAACCTCCTTTGCAGATTCCCAACAAGATGCTCAGCCTTGTGCTATGTTTAAGTGCCATCCACAGCAAGACCACACATCCCCTCACTCCCTCCACATCTTTCGACCTCACACAGCACTCCAGTTGCTCATTTCTTATCACCAGACAAATGAAACAAAGGGGAAAGGAAACTCATTTCTGAAGAGGAGGAGGGAGAGGAAGAGAAGAGCAGTTTAGCATGAGAAGCAGTGCACAGTGAGTGTTGCCCATGTATTTCCTACTCCCTGCAGAAGCCTTTTGTAGTCTCACTGCTCCCGAGACACATGCCAGGCACCCCAACTGCCAAAGGACTCAGAAATGCAACAGCCTGTTGTGTTGCCATGGGAATCAGGAGACAGGCAGCTAATTGATAAAATGGAGACACATTAGACTTAAAAGAAAGGGGAGGTGGAGGGAGAGAAAAAGGGGGAAAGAAAGAGATATACCAGAGTAACATCTTGTGCCAGGAAGGGAAGGAGAAATGAGAACGCACATGATATTTACAAAAGAGCTTTACAGTGCCCCTAGAGAGATCTTTTTCCTTTTCTATTTTAATTTTCAGAGGTTTTTACTCTCAAACCCCACCACATCATAAGACAGCCTGACAGGCAGCACAGAACTGCCCATCCACTCCCTCTCCATGAGAGTCAATAAACTTCTCATCCACTAGCCAGCAAGAAATGCTGCACCAGCCTGGCAGAAGTGTCCCTGTCATCTCACTGGCTCATGCTATAGATGCCACTAACCTGTGGGAGCTGTGCAGCTCATGAGCATCTCAAAGTGCAGCACTGCAACCAAAGTGGTCAAAACACTACTGGTACCAGCTCTGCCCCTCCCAGCCCGGGCAGAGCTTCAGGACAGTCCCGTGACCAGGGGACTGT